TGCCGCATCACAACTCAAGTCGTCCTTCAATCCAGGACCCGATGGCGTTCCATCCGTATTCCTGAAAAAGCATATCGCCAGCTTGCTGATGCCCATGCTTCACCTATTTCGATTGTCCATCTCGAGTGGTACATTTCCATCTTGTTGGAAATTCGCACATATGTTTCCTATCCACAAAAAGGGCAGCAAACGGGATGTGGACAATTATCGTGGAATTACGTCGTTGAGCGCAGTTTCGAAGTTATTCGAGTTAGTCATCATGGAGCCTCTACTCTCTCATTGTAAGCAGTATCTAAGTGGTGATCAACACGGCTTCACTTCCGGTCGTTCTACTTCCACAAATCTGCTGAGTTTGACATCGTATCTTACGGAAAGCATGGCAGAGAGGACTCAAACAGACGTCATATACACCGACTTGTCAGCTGCCTTCGATAAGCTAAACCATGCCATCGCGATTGCCAAGTTGCATAGACTTGGGGTCAGCGGCAACCTCTTGCGATGGTTTCGTTCATATCTCACTGATCGGCAACTGATGGTTGCCATTGGTGACAACCGGTCCAATATATATCTAGCTACGTCAGGAATACCTCAAGGAAGTCACCTGGGACCTTTGATTTTCTTACTCTACTTCAATGACGTGAACTTGGTCATCGAAGGCCCACGACTATCGTATGCAGACGATCTTAAAATCTACCTACGAATCCACTCGATTGATGACTGTCACTTCCTTCAACGTCAGTTCGAAGCCTTTGCCAGCTGGTGTAATTTGAACCGAATGGTGGTTAACCCCACTAAGTGTTCAGTGATCACTTTTACTCGGAAGAAAGAACCAATCACATTTGAATACAAACTTATCGGCACTGTAATCGACCGTGTGAACCATGTGAAAGATCTGGGTGTTATTCTAGATTCTCAACTTACGTACAAGCAGCACATCTCGTACGTTGTCGACAAGGCGTCTAGGACGTTGGGATTTATCTTCAGGATAGCAAAGAATTTCTCCGATATCTACTGTTTGAAGTCACTGTACTGTTCCTTAGTGCGATCCATTCTGGAATATTGTTCTGTGGTCTGGAGTCCAAACTACAACAATGGTGCTGAGAGAGTTGAGGCCGTTCAACGCCGTTTTCTTCGATTCGCTCTGCGGAAGCTGCCTTGGAGAGACCCATTTCATCTGCCCAGCTATGAAAGTCGTTGCCAGCTGATTGATCTGGAGCCTCTCCGAACTAGAAGAGACACCTCTAGGGCCCTGTTCATTGCGGACACTTTACAAGGTAGAATTGATTGCAGTGCAATCTTGGGGCAAGTCAACATTAACGTCCAACCCCGTGCGCTACGTAACAACGTTATGCTGAGATTGCCACTTCAGCGCACAAACTATGGCATGAACGGTGCAATAGGTGGGCTGCAACGAGTGTTCAATCGAGTCTCGGGCATCTTCGATTTCCATATGCCTCGACAGCTGCTACGAAGATACTTCTCATCGTTCTTTTCTGGCACAGTTAACCGTGAATGATTGTGTGTTTTATTTATGTATTTTATTCTTAGTTTTTATTTTTTGATTTGATTTTTACCTATATAAGTTACTTAAATCATCATTGGGGCTTTACACAGCCTGTTGATGCAGACAAATAAATAAGATAAATAAGTTTATCCTCGGCTTTGGATTGACTTGCGCTCCCTTTGCCCCACAAACGCTGCAAAATGAAAATGAAAGCAAGCTACAATTAAATAAAAATGATTTTTCCCCATACAGTTTTACCTGCTTTACTACCAGTCCCCAGAGAGCCAAAAAAAATTAAATTTGAGAGAGAAAACTTGCTCTCACTAGTCCAATTTCTCAACATGTATTTTGATGACACTCTATTTGGGATTTCCCTCTCACAGACTACAAAATAGAGTACCTGTCACTGCAAAACATATCTGGTACCGTAAAACGGGGTAACATTGATAGTTTTTTAAAGTATATTCTAAATATTTTTTTACAGCAATGAATGTTTTTCAAATTTTATATTTTTAAAACAAGTACTGATGATCCAAGAGTTAATTTGTTAGTAATATGTTGAACGAAAATTAAAGCATTTGCACTATTTTTTTTAGTTTTTTGCCTACAGTTTGTTCATAATTTTGCTGCTGGAAAATAAAGCATACCCGAAAAAAAAAATAACAACAAAAATACATTAAAAAACAATGTAACAATAAGACGAAAATTATTGTCTTAACAATGATTTATATTGTTACGTCTACAATAAATTTACCTTGATTTATGTTGTACTAAACAGTAAATTTCATGGTAAATGGAAAATTTACAATAAAAAGGGGGTTGTTAAGTATCTTAACAATGCAATTTTCGAGATTTCCCCATATATTTTTTTTCAATAACAGTATATATTATTGTTATTTTACTGTTGGTTGGCGAATTTATTGATTAAAAAAAATAACAGTGTACTTTAGAGTGTATGTGTAGGCTAGACAGATCTACTTTATCGACTTAAAAATAAAATCGAAAATAAAAAACATCGCCCCGGGAAGGGCGGGGGTAGTATGTCTGGTCTGATACGGGTGAGTCCTTTTTTTACTGGTTTTGGATTGAGATTCGATCCGGAACTTGTGAGAAATGCAGGCCAACTCCCCTGCACTCGATCTCCCTAGGGCACGTCTCCTTGGTGGTTGAGCGTCGTTGATTAGTTAATACATTCGACTGGAGAGAATCGCCTATGAAATATGCTAACACCTGAGAATTCCTTCCTGACATCTTCAAGTGGTCGATTTTTTTATTATTATTGTATGATTATTGACTGCACGGAAAAGGTCTGCATTAAGCAGGATTTAGATGAGGCAGGTGAGTTGAATTCAACTCAAACCGATCTGGTCGTAGGCGTTCAATTGACTTGGCAACGAATAGAGCAAGTCCGATATCGGCCAGCCAAACGAACTGTCAAAGCCAGAGCCATACGGGCAGCACCTATCTTGATTACATTGGCAGTGTTGCTGACCCTCTCATAGTCTGCAAGCTTCAATTAGATTTATTTTTATTGTTCGTGACGTAGCCCACAATGAAAACACATCAATATTTAATGTAACAACAATTTTTATTGTAATAGAGTTGTTCATAATTGTTCATAATCGAATCATGTTACAATAAAATAAATGAAAATACGATAAAAATCATTGTAACAACATACCTTCATTGTACATCTAGGTAGCACTTTTGCCGTTTTCGGAAGGGTACAACATTATAACAATCATTTTTATTGTCGACAATAAATATTAATGTTAGAGCATTGTTTCCACTGAAAACTTCACTGTAATTTTTTTTTCGGGTGGTAATTCAACTTTTCACTCATTTGAACACACAGATAATGGAGTTTAAAAGTAGAAAGTAAGTATTTCCATTGAAATACTACTGATATGCAGGTGTTTCTACTTTTAACTAATCCTTCTGCATTTATACATTTGTCCTTAAGAAACTGTACGTATTTTTTTTATTGGGTATCATGCTGGAGCTGCGTGACAGCTTAGTTTTCAAGACTTGACCCATTTGAATAAATTTCGCTTCTATCTTTGACAATACATCAAAAGGACTAGCCCATGTTGGCCGCTTGAACACTGGATTCCGTATGTATTGTTTCAAGATAGTTATAGAAAAAATGCTGTGATGTGTGCGCGTAGATACATCCGCGTAGTAAACCGATTGAATAAGTAAATCCGTTTCGAACGAAATATCTAAATTATGTAAGTTACGAAAACCGCGCGAATTCCGAAAGCCGTGCGAGACCACCGAAGCGAAAGGCGAAAGGCTTATTATCATTTAAAGAGTGCCACCAAAATAAATGTGATAGCCTATGTTGGCAAGTTGATTAATTTTGGTTTCCTCTCTAGATATTCTACTTATTTACTACTGAGCTTTGTATCAAATTAGTTAATTTACGTATCAATCATTTCAAGATTTCGCGACCGTACCGAACAAATTCTATACTACATAAGCTCAAAAGCGTTTGACAAGCTCTACCGTATTGCGTATCACTTCTGCGTAAGCTCCGTAGACGTAGGCGCGTTGAATACGACAGTCGGCAAAGGTTTAACCTGTACCAACACCGCTTAAGGGACGACCAAGGGGAGGGCCTTAAGAAACTGTACGTATTTGCATCCAAATCTGAGATCTATTTATATATTTTTTTCATAATAGGCTTTTACGAAGCCTTTGCAGCAAAAATATCTGATTTTGATGAATAGCTACTGGTTATTTAAATTGTCAACAAACCTTGACATACCATTGTTTTAAGGTATATCAAAATGTAACGTTCTTAGCTTTCATGTGGGGCGAACAAATTTCTAATATTAATGAGCAAATTTCCAAAGATTAGCTTGAAAACAACCTTAGATATTAAATCTGCAAAGAGTAACAGTTTGAAAAGTAATATTTCCACTGTTAATAGGTTGTGGGTGCCGTAATTTGCCCCACCTGACCATTCATGAAAGACAATTAATTTGGATTAACAGACACAATTTTAGTGAAATTAGCTATTTTTACTCCTGTTGGCTAAACATCCGGAATAGCTTTTAACAGACATAGTGGAATTGATCTCTTCTGTATTGTTTTTATTTCAGTGTTATCTCGCTCAAATTGATATGGTTCAAGCAATCATATCGATCCAGCGACTTTTTCCAGAATCAATCTTCTCCTACAAATTCTCACCGGGATGATTTAACAGGTTTAATTTATTGATGGAAATTAATATAATTCATAAAATATCATGAATGAAAACTCACGAAACACCGTTATTTGTTGACTTCCTTACTTCCTTGTGACAAGTGACCAGTATTTACTACAAAATTCATTGAGACTGTTTTGTAACATTGACAAACAAGTGCTTCCATTCACGTATGAATAATAATGCCCATCTGGTTGATCGGAAGTCACCCGACCAAAGCCACTACACATGCTGGAAAGCGTATATAAAAGCAAGAGCTTTCACTCGACAGTGTGTCATTGCCAATCCGAGTCCAGCTTCGAAAAGTAGGCGTTCCTGATCGATTCTTTATTAAACGTACGCGTCGAAGGTTTTATATTTTTGTCTTCATTCGTAACTCCTCTTCTTTCAATACACCGCGCGCTCACGTATCGTGACCGGAGTGGTGTCGCGAGTTAGTGTTGGTTTTATTAATGATTAGTGAATTAATTTCGCTCACGGTGAACCACCCGAATGCTAACAACCAGACGAATATTATCGAAAAGCGGGAGAAGAAGCGTTGAACCGGCTAGGTGGGCTCAGTGCGTTAGTGTAGTGTAAGCGGGAATCACGGAAAAATACTGGTTTTCTATTACGAACAGTTAACCAAATATCTAGTGCAGTAAAAACAATAATAGTTTGACAAAAAAAAACATGCTGAACTGTTAAACAGCACAAGCAAAACCACCTGTAAAACATATGAGTCAAGGGAAGTACATTCACTGATAATTCAAGTGGTCATGACAGTGATTTATGTGCATCATTTGATAATGGTAACATTTTATGTTGTCATTGGGTGTAAGTGAACGTGCCGAAAACTTACCGACAGTTACACAAGTTCAAAAATTCATGACAAAAAATAAACTTCACAGCAAAATGTTTACGCAAGTTGAAGTTTTTGGCGTTCTAATAGTAGCTGTTCTACAGATCTTGATCAACCTTGATGGAAGCTTAGGCTGTTGTAAGTATGATTAAATGAAACAATGACCCGACATGTTTAAGCGATAAGCGTTGTTTGTCTTAACCATTCCGTGGAATTTGTAATGTCATTGCTCAAATTTGTAAGATTTTCGATTCTAAACATTTTTTATATTTTTAAAGTTTGTTTCCAACAATTATGCTTCGTACACAGACAATTCGGATGTCATTTTATACGTACTCTACCTTGCACGATTAAATGCAAATTAGTGTTCAACATACGTTATTTCACGTTTGAGCAAATCACTTAATTACTTCATGAAAAAAAAAAGTTGTGGTTCTGAACTATGTGGAGGAACCCAATGGCTTCATTTCATCAATGTTGCAAATGAAGCTGAAGCAACGAAACGATGATAACAAGAAACTGCTACACAACCAAAAAAAAAACACTATCGCGGTGTCGGTAGCACATAACATAAATGTGTAACTCCATCCACAGTTTTTGTTTTATATATTAAGTAGACAAGATCAATTACCTTCCTAATCCTATCATATCTATCTAAGCTGTAGGCAATTCAATTCTACTTATCTTGTTCGTTTCCGTAGTGTAGCGGTTATCACGTCTGCTTCACACGCAGAAGGTCCCCGGTTCGAACCCGGGCGGAAACATGTTCTTTTTTTTCATACGTAGCCACGCCACATTAAGGAACAAAAAGTGCTACACGCGGATCCCAGATGATATTTTTTAAGATTCTTAGTTTGGCCTTGTATGGTAAGAAAAATATAAGACTCCAGAATGCAAAACAATATTTAAAATTTAGAGTCCAGGTTTAGACATTTTTTGTGATCTCAAACTTTGAAAAAATGTCATGTTTTAAAGAACGAAAAATCTGCTATGAAAAATCAAAGGATGAAAATTCCTCATCTGAAAACGTTTCTAATTGCGAGATCCAGGGTGTCCGTTCAAATCCAATTTTTCTATTCCAGGTTATTTAAAAATAAACCCAACTCAAACATCACACCTTTGTTATAAAAAAGCGTTCAAAAACAACCGATTAGAGATAATCATATAATTTTTTGAACAGAATTGTTCTACAATACGTCTACTTTGTATAAAACAATATGTGATGAGATTTACATTAACATTTTGATGAATGTGGGCGTCTTAGTGGAATACCTGTATAATGAGACAGAGAAGGATAAGTAATTTCCATTTAATTCCACTACCTTATATGCTTATCCTTGACAGATACGCGTATTTCGTCTACAATGTGCAGACTTCTTCAGTGTCTTGTACTAATACTAAGTCGAGTATTAGTACAAGACACTGAAGAAGTCTGCACATTGTAGATGAAATACGCATATCTGTCAAGGATAAGCAAATAAGGTAGTGGAATTAAATGGAAATTACTAATTCTTCTCTCTCTCATTATACATTAACATGTTTATTACCCAGATCTCCACAATCTCATGGAATCATGAATTCGTATACAATAAAAGATGCATGCTACTAAAAATGAGCCTGAAACACAATGAACATTTCAAAAGGTCCTATCTGCTTTGATCGATTATCTTCATCGACTATTTTTGTTTATAGCAGGGCTGGTAGCCATCACTGCTGTCAAAAATAGTAATTTTAGTGACCATGTTGAAGAAATAAGTGACTAAATAGTTACTGTTAGTTTTAAGAATAGTGACTAAAAAGTGACCCTGAATTAAATTAAAAATATATTTTATTGAAAACTCTTAGGAATTTCTGAGGAGCACAACTCCTGTGAACTTCAAAGGAAAATTCCAAGGGCATTCTGAGAATAATTTCATAAAGTGTGTCGGAGCATAAGTTCTTGGATTTTTTTTTGAAAATACTAAAAGAAGGATTACAATTAAATCTGAGAATAACTCCAGGACATCTTCAAAGGAATTCGGAAAATAAATTCAGGAGAGTTTTCCAAACAAATTATGAGAAGAAATTTTAGGAAATTGTGAGTAGAAATGCCAATGAATTCTTAGGAGAATTTCAGTGTGAGTAGAATTCCAAGTGAGATTCAAAAGGAAATCTGAAATGAATTCAATGAAAATTCTGATAATCTTTCCAAAGGGTGTCTTATTGTGGAGAATTTCAAGATAATTCCGCTAAAAACTAAAAGAAAATTGAATTCGAAGGATAGCTTCAACGAAATTTCCGTTGAATATGAAATGGACTATTCTGAGAACTTCCCAAATTTTTCCTATGAAGTTCTCGAAATGTTTCTGAATACCACTGTCCTTCTGTGAAGTTTTCGAAGTTTTTCTAAATTTCTGGAACTTTTGTGCTCCCGCAATTTTCATGGAATTAGAATGAAATAATTAGTATAGTTTTATGATTTTCACTGAAGTTCTCATGATTTTTCTGAAGTTCATGAACTTGCCATTAAATTATAGACACTAATTTAAAACTTCTTCAATAGTTTAGACTTTCCGGGTGTTATTAAAACTGCCTAAACGAATTTCTTTAAAGTTCTCTAGGTTGCCCTTTATCAGTATTTTTTAACAACCCACAACTTTACTGAAATTAATTGATTTGCCTTGAAGTTTGGACAATTTTCCTTATGTATTCTAACCATTAAAAACGCTCTCTTATTTTCCCTGAACTATGCTTACCTGAAGTTCTCTAAATTTGTTTGTCCGGCAAATTTTCTGATATATATTATATATTTAAAATTCCCTGACGTTTTCAGATCAATCATAGAATTCTTGGAATACCCCATAATGCCACGGAATTCCTTGTAAGTCGCTACAAATTTGCTTAAGTTAATGGGATTATTCTGAAGCTATTTGATCGTTCTCGAAGTACTCGGAACTTCGCTGAATATCAGGAAACTATCTGAATTCTAAGTTCTCTGGAATTTCTTGAAGATATTTATCGCTGCTTGCTAAAATAGTTCTCGCATTTTTTTAATGAATGGAACTTCGTTGATATTCTCTAATCAACTTAGCTAAACTTTCGTATTTTTTAAAGTTCTTGATATTTCCATGATATAACACCCTTAAAATACTCTCTTTTTATCACGTTCCAGAAGTTCTATCGGAGCTTTGTTGAAGTTTCTGGAACTTCTTTAAGGTTTCTAAAATTTTCTTTAAATTATTGGAACTGCCCTTTGATTCTCTGATCTGTCTTGCTGTTTTCGAAGCTTTCCTAAAGCTCTCAATTCTATTGAAGATAAATTTCCCTGAAATTCTTTGGACTTCTGTGAAGTTCCTGAAATATTTATGAAGTTTTCATAAATTATCTGATGGTCTCTGTACATCCCTGAAATTCTCGGAACATCTTAAGGGTTCTAAATTTTCTATAGATATTTAAACTGGTCTAAAAAGTCTGAACTAAAGTCATGGAAACTGATCTTAAGATCTGAAATTCCCCAAAGATCTCTAGGAGATCTAGAGAGATCTAGAGATCTTTTCTGAGGTGCTTAATTTTTTTTTAATTTGCACAATACCCCTCAAGGTTTCTATATTTCTCAAGTTTGCTTAACACCTGTGATGTGCTCTGAAATTCTAGGAACTTCATAAAAGTTTCTGAAAATTTTAGAATGTTAAAAGCAAGGTTGAAAATACTCATTTCAGCTAAAATAATGTTTTTCGAAATAATAAATCCAAAAGATGGTATGATGGCATGTTTTACTTGTAACTTACAAGAAGAGGTTACTAAGTATGCGTTTGAAACATAAAACCTGTACATTTTGATTTCTATGAGTCACAATCAGCGATTTGCTGATCGCTGAGTGAGTGAGTGAGTGTGTGTAAAATCGTTGATTTTGACTCTCATGAAGTGAAATAAACAGGTTTAATATGTCAAACACATTCTTTGCAACCTCTTCTTGTATCCTATCAATTCAAAATATGATTATGGCATCTAATTATTTCATAATAAAAAAAAAACATTGTTTTAGCTGAAATGAGTACATATTTGCCGAAGAACCGATTTGAGGATGTTAAAGCTTCCAGTAAGTTCCCTATAATTTCAGTGTGTTAACTTCCCTTATGTTCCCGCAGTTTGTTTATGGAGCTTTACTGAAATTCTCAGAATTTCCTTTCATTCCTCAGAACTTCTTCATAGTTCCTACAATTGTTGTGAAGTTAATGGGACTTCAATGAAGATCTCTAATATTTCATAAAGTTAATTACGAACTTGAAATAAATCATTTAATGTTTTCCTTAATTCAGGCACTTTGAAAATTTTCAATATCATGAACTTGTACATGGAATACGAAACTACAAGACATTGAATGTTTTTAGATTTTGTACGACCAAAAGTTATTAATGATTCAATCACTGATGTCTTAGATTATGCTAAATCAACATTGGTGTTTCTGGCACGTAGAATGGAGCACAACTATCATGACAAAAGGCAAAAAGACCATAAACACAATGTTTGGTTTTCCTATAGTAATTTCCATATAAACTTCAAATGGTTTGTGCCAAGTCAGTTACTTACTAAATGAGTTCAAATTTTGGTAGGCTAATCAGGACCCGATATGGAACTGTTTGAGCACTATTTTGCATCAGTCTAGTGTCCATCTAACCCAAAAAATAATCTAAAATTTGGATTTTCCGGGAAAAATGCGGGAAAACCCATATCGCACCAAGAAAGCACATATATTATATACTCATCCCAAATATCAACTTTTCCCGATCATACTTGGCATGCACGTTCAACACCGGACACAATCAACTATCTAAACAATCATGACGGACGCCCTGGAAATCTGTCGAATATTTGCAAAGTCTTAGTTCTTAAAATCTACGCCTATGATTTTCACATTTTTCCAATGTCCAAAATTTGGATTCCAATCTTCAAATTAGGAAAAAAGAGGAAAAAAGTTTGATTTCTAAGGTGATTAGATTGTTTAAATTATTTATATACACATTTCGAAAAATATTCCACAGATTTAATTTTTAAAATGTGTAGTAATTCAAAGATCGTGATTTTTTTCAAGTTCAAGATTTTAAAAGACATTTTATGAATGTATTTTTATTTTTACATAGAGGTATTGGAACATTTCC